TAAGACACACAGAAAGTTTGCTATGAACATGCATAACAAGAACAACATGAATTTCAATGATATTATGAGATGCTTAAAGGAACACTCCACTATTTTTGAAAATAGGCTCATTTTCCAACTCCCCTAGAGTTAAACAGTTGAGTTTTACCGTTTTCAAATCCATTCAGCCGATCTCCGGGTCTGGCGGTAGCACTTTTAGCTTAGCTTAGCATAGATCATTGAATCTGATTAGACCGTTAGCATCTCGCTCAAAAAAGACCAAAGAGTTTCTATATTTTTCCTACTTAAAACTTGACTCTTCTGTAGTTACAAGTGTACTAAGACTGACGGAAAATGAAAAGTTGCGATTTTCTAGGCTGATATGGCTAGGAACTATACTCTCATTCCGGGTGCAGCAGGCGCAATGATATTACGCAGCGCCTGTTCCGGTGTAATAATCAAGGAACTTTGCTGCCATACCATGGGTGCAGCAGGCGCAATGATATTACGCAGCGCCTGAAAATAGTCCCAGCTAGGTAACTTCCAATAAGCCTATTTTCAGGCACTGCATAATATCATTGTGTTCCTTTAAGTGTTCCTTTAAGACTTTATAAAAATTGTTTTAGAGCACCAATTAGGCATAATTTATCTTTAAATGTAGGTGGAGCGAGATGTTATTTCAGCTTAGTTTCATAATCATAGTATAATGAACCATTTCAAAAGATCAAGGAAAATCTGACTACTCATTATATGACACCTTTAAGTGATCACATGAAAATAGGCATCTGACCACCGACACCAAAGGAGCCAGATCAGACGCACAGGAGCCCACCAATGACTCCCACACTCTTCCTGTGTGCTGATGCTTTTTCTTTAAAGAAGTGACCTTAAGAAAAACCCTTTTTATTCCCATCTCTGCAACGGTACAGAGTAGCTGCATTGTCTGCCGCTGTAACTGGCTAACACACTCCGCATTCTTGCTTTTGTTAGTAACACTCACAGAGAGACCAGGAAAAAGAATATTCCCACATGCTTCTACTCGCATCAGTAACCTCTTTTTTCTACTCTGCCATGGTTCTTCCATTATTTCTATAATCATTATGAACACATGTACACTATTGTTCAAAAGGCTTTTTAAAAAATAAATTAAAATTTTTCTAATATATTTTAAAATGATCAAAAGTGACATTTATAATGTTACAAAAGATTTCTATTTCAAATAAATGCTGTTCTTTTGAACTTTTTCTATTCATCAAAGAATCCTGAAAAAACAAAATGTATCACGTTTCCACAAAAATATGAAGCAGCACAACTGATTTCAACATTTATAATAACAAGAAATGTTTCTTGAGCAGCAAATTTAGCATATTAGAATGATTTCTGAAGGATCATGTGACACTGACTATTCATCAAAGAATCCTGAAAAACAAAATGTATCACGTTTCCACAAAAATATGAAGCAGCACAACTGTTTTCAACATTGATAATAACAAGAAATGTTTCTTGAGCAGCAAATTTAGCATATTAGAATGATTTCTGAAGGATCATGTGACACTGAATGAAGACGAGTAATGATGCTGAAAATTCAGCTTTGAACACAGCAATACATTACATTTTAATATATATTCAAAGAGAAAACAGATATTTTAAATTGCAATAATATTTCACAATATTACTGTTTTTACTGTATTGTTTACAAATAAATGCAGCCTTGGTGAGCACAAGAGACTTCTTTCAAAAACATTTAAAAAAGTTTTCCAACCCCAAACTTATAATCAGTAGTGTATATCCGAAATAATCACAAAGGATATTAAAAAAATCATTTATAGCAGCTTGAAGGTACTAGCTTTTGAATTCCACAACCATCCATGAGACTCTAGAATCATAGTTACGAGTTTTGCATGGGCAAAAACATTTACATTTATTTTCAGAAGTCAAGTTTACAATATACAATCTAGTTTGCTGTCGCTATTATATTATATAATTATATATTGCACTTTAAAATAAAAAACAAATCTGTGCATGCATGCACAGATTCTGACATGTGTGCAATCTTCATAATTGGAAAAGAATGTCCTAGTTTTATCCAAATAGCACAAATTTTATCCATGGTGTTACACATCCCAGGTGTGTAATTTGAACTTTAAATGATAAATTTCCACATCATCCTTCCACCATAAATTGCATAATTTCCTGAGAGACGAGTTAAGTGCCCTAAAAACCAAAGACAGACAATGCACATGTACTGATAAGAGAAACCTCTTGCTTATCATTTGTAACTGTAAAATGCAAATGTAAAATGCAAAAATAAAGTACAGTCAGACACACTCACATAACAAGAAGCATGAAGTCACAGCCGCGCTTCTGGGCCAAATGCACATCTGGAGGGTGTGTGAGGGGGTGGTTGGCTTTTTGTCGTGTGTTTTGGGATGATAAACAGGGTGTTACTGAAAGCATATGGTGATGTGTGGCCCAAGGGTGTGCTTATTTCACAGTCACCGACCCCCTCTTCACTCTGACTGCACAAACCCCCAAATAAATGATACAGATTACCATCTACAGATCCACAGACCTGCATGTGCTTTCAAGCAATCAGTGGCCCACATGCAAAAATGCTTACATCACGCCTAGACCAAATTAGACTGATAAGCATTTCGCCAAACATGCACGACAACACAATGACGCCATCTCACTGCTAAAAATACAAAGTTCTGTCATGAAACTCTAGATGGCGCAGGCCGATAGGTTCTAACTCATTCTGACATAATGACATCATTATTCACGTGGCGCAGCTGATTGGTTCTTTTTGTATCAGCAGCCAATGAGCTTGCTGCTCAAACATTCAAATACTCGGCTACCCTCCACCTTCCCCAGCTCCACCTGTATAGATCTGCTACGGGGTGATTTCATGTATGTTTTATATGGGGTGGTCTCATATAGCAGCAGTGTTTCTTACATGCCCTCAGCAGCATGTCATGGATGTACTGGCAGTCTCGGTACAGATCAGCGTAGCAGATCTATTCTGCCAAGACCCAACACATTGACACTGCCGTGTATATTACCATGCTAAACTCTCCGAGGGTTGTCATGGCAGAAATACCCTTAAACGATGACGACAAAATTATGAGAATGAAAACCCTCCTTAAACTAGATCTGAGACTGATTAAAAGCCACTCGGTTGGTACAGAAGTGAAAGACTGCAGAAGCGATGCATTAGAGCCGCTTGTTGTTTCCTCTTTACCTTTTAAGCGCATGTGTGATGTATTTTCAGAAGGCCATTTACAGATATCAGAGCCTGGTGTAATATCCCGGAAGAAACGTGCGCTTGACTTAACTGGTTTAAGGATTTTGCTGTTACATGTGACCCAATTCAGTCCAAAGCGAGCCGAACCACTGCCCGCTGCTCTTATCTTACACTTACACTATCATCTACAGCATGTCACAGAAATCCACCATCTCTAATGAGAACCTATTAACAACAGCGCTGTAATAAAACCACACAAATAACCCTAAAGACTTCATTCTGAATTTATGCTTCTTAATAAACACACTTGTAAAAGCTTCAGCATATTAAGAACCTAACCTACATGTTTTATTTTCATTATATTCCATGCAAAAGGAAGCCCAGTGTAGTTCAACCACTGAAACGGTTCAAAAATCCTGAAGGAATGCTAATGGTATTTTGGACACGATCCAAAAGATTCAATAGGAAACAAACACCCACTGGAAAACCTGAATTTCCCAATGTCAGTTCATCCAGTAGAACTGAATATGGTTAGACTCTTGTTAGATTGATGTTTTCCAAAACATAATACAGTAATACATGCAATCCTGTAGTATTTTTTGACTGCAGATTTCCCATTTGTCCAGTCTGAACACAGTGACAGTCATGAACTGCTTTACACGCCCAGCAGTGTAAATACTGAATGAGCATTTTCAGACTGTTGGGTAACTAGGCCCTTATTTTAACATTTACGCATTTTGCAGTTGCTGTTATCCAAAAGCAACATAAGAAATTCATCAAAGAGCCAACAATATTCATTAAGTTTTAAATAAATGCATAAACTACACCAACACACAATCATAGATGCAAGCCTTGTAATAATAATAATAATAATAATAATAATAATGAAAACTAATAATACAGATAATGAATTGTGAATTTTTTATATTTAATATTCATTATTAACTTATATTAAATATATATTTATATTTAATTGAATTAAATAGCTAAATGAAATAGTACTCTATTACATATTGTATTATTTGTCAAATAAAACATTAAAAATACATATTAAAATATATTACATATTTTACATATATAAAATTATATATTAAAGAATAAATATTGCAACCATTATTAACATTAATATTTAACTAAGAATAATAAATATAATAAATAATAGTAATAATAACTTGAATTATATGGTATTAATATTACAGATTTTATTATTTGTCAAATAAAACTAAATTCTTATTCAAATATAAGTATTACACAGAAATTATTAACGTTTTATTCAATTAATAATAATGTACTAACTACTACTACTACTAATAAATAATAAAATACATGTCACATTTATATATTAATATTTTTTATCGTTTTATTAAATATTTACATTATTGTAATTGTTTTAATATAACATAACACATGGTAAATAATAGAAACATTACACAAAGATTGATGTCATTATTATGATCATCCAAACACGCATATATTTGGATGTTGTTAGATTGAATATAAGGCGAGCATACCTTGTGTTGCAGGCACATGTAACTCAAGCACAGATCAGACGCTGTTATTAGATCTCAAACCACATAAACGAGGAGAAGAATCCCTATAATCAGAGCAATTCCTGCTGATAAAGCCACATCCACATCCGAGTGCTGTCTTTCATGAATAAGCAGCTCTTCCTCTGTCTGCTCTCCACAGACACGCGCCCCACGCCAGCCAGTGCGTCTCCGCGTCACGCAAGATCCCGGTGAACGCGTGACAGCGATAAAGACCAGGCGGCACTCACCTCTGTCCAAAGACGCGAATGTGATTTCCCCGAGCAGACTCTCCCTGTCTCTGTCACGCATTCAGCGTCTCTCCGCGCTCATTTGCTCCAGTCTTCTCCGGTCCGTCTGTCTGTCTCACTGCTGCTGTAGAGACACACACAAACCTGCTGCGTGAAGCGCCGCCCACGGGCGAGCCCAGTGGTCATTAGTTCCCCACGCAGCGCTGCGCTCACGAGACGCGTCACCTGCGCCAACGGAGGAGGAACATGCAATATTAAAGACACCACATGCCTGATATCTCATCATACAACTCTAGATATCTGGCTTAGAAATAACAGGGATGCGGCCTAGACAGACAGACAGACAGAGAGACGGAGAGAGAGACAGACAGACAGAGAGATAGAGAGAGAGAGAGAGACAGACAGACAGAGAGATAGAGAGATGGAGAGAGAGACAGACAGACAGACAGAGAGATAGAGAGAGAGACCGACAGACAGAGAGAGAGAGAGACAGATAGATAGACAGACAGACAGACAGATAGATAGATAGATAGACAGACAGACAGACAGACAGTGAGAGAGACCGACCGACAGACAGACAGAGACAGACAGACAGTGAGAGAGACCGACAGACAGAGAGAGAGATAGAGAGAGAGACCGACAGACAGACAGAGAGAGAGAGACAGACAGACAGACAGACAGACATTAAAACACTTGTTTTTAATTACCGTTTTTTTATTACAAACATTTGCAAAGCAGTGTAGCCTATGAGTTTGTGTATATATATGTACATGTATAATGAAGTAATATAGTATTATAGTAATATAGTATTTGGTCAGATATACATATTTAAAGTACAACGAGTAACATAATAAATCTTTTTTATATATTTAAATAAATTACAAGGTTAATCTCTAATGATGTCATGGAAACACCATTACTAAGTATCTCAGCGCCCTCTGCAGGTAATCAACAGTTAACAAGACTAGTCAATGTTGAAGATTACCATTGTGAAAGGTGATAAAGCACCTGTAGCCTAAATGTTTAATAAATGCTTTGCATTTTATTATTAGGGATAATGTATACAATATTCAATCAAAATCGCTAAATGGACTATTTTGATTTTTGATTTATTAGCTATTATTAATTTATTTTAATTTATTAGCTATTATGTACATGCATATCTGTTTATGTATCATATCAATACATTTCCTTTTTGACCTTTGATACTATTGACCTTTTCGGTTTTGCCCAGATCACCATGTCTCAGAGGAACAGACTGCACAGTGACTAAAAAATGTGTTGCAATATCCATGATTTACTGTCTCTCAACCATCATCACTCTGATGAGCAATGGGTTAATTTATATTATTAGTCACACATTAGTTTGGGATTGTTAAAATATATTTAAATCTAAACAAATGCTGTCTGATTACATAGATTTTATATTATATTCACTTATAAGATAATATTATTTTCATTTTCACTTTATATTATATTATATTATATTATATAAGAAGCTTACATTTCTGTTAGATTAAAGAGTGTTCAGGAAATTTTTATTTTTGTGATCACTGGCAACCCTGGACTAAGTTCTTTACAAATCCTACTAAGCTAAAGAATTGGCTCATGAATATTATTTATGTAACAAGACGTTCTCCCAGTGAGCCTTCTGATTGGCTGAATGGCAGACGTGGGCGCTTGTCAGCTGACGAATCGACGAATCACTGTTACTATAAAGGATGGCTCATGAATATGAAATACCTTACGTGCCTGGACACTCCAGGAAGTCTCTAGCATCATCTACTTAATATTCATGAGTCAAGTCTTTAGCCATAGTGGGTTGCACAGATGGAATTAAAGTGGGCGGGGTTAGCGGCGCGGAGGCGGGGCCGTTGTAAAGTTGCCTGACTTGATCAGAGTTTAGCACGATTATTCGCAGCGAGGCCGGACGATGCGATGGCGGAGATGGCCGATCTCACCGTCTCCCTGTCCTTACTGCTGGTGATTGTAGTTTTTAGCGAGTTGGCGAGGAGGACGGCTTTATATCTATTCCCAAATCGAAACTGGATCAGCTATGTGCTGGAGTTGATTTCCACTTTCCAGCTGTGCGCCTGTACGCACGAGTTAAAGCTGCTCGCGGAGGTGCGCGGACTGGAGCCGCGGATCGCGCTGACCCTCACGTACCTCATCTCGGTGGTCCACGGGCTTTCGTTCCACGGCGCGATCTGTAACCCGACCGGCGCTCTGGAGAAGCTCTGGCGCGGGGCTCTGACGCGAGGATGCGCACTGACGCGGATCTCATGCCAGCTGATCGCGGCAGTGGCGGCGCGGCGCGTCATGCCTCACGCGTGGGCGCTGGCGCTCTCTGACCTGCACGCACAGCACTCAGTGGCGGGCTTTAAATGCACGAACAGCCCCGTTAACGCGCCTCTGCTGCAGGCCGCCGCGGTGGAGCTGAGCTGCGCGTTTGTGATGCACACCGCGGTGTCTAACGTGGAGAAAGTGGAGGAGAAATATCGGGTTCCTGCGATAGCTGCTGTCATCACTACCTTAGTCTATGCAGGTGTGTACCATGGTACAAATATGCGAATTAATCTGTACTATGGTACTACCACAGTACTTTATGAGCTGTGCAAGTGTTCTTATTGGCTTTTTCACCATGCCCAGATCAGAGGCATCTATCTATCTATCTATCTATCTATCGTTCATTCTATCATAATTTTTTCTATCTATCTTTCATTCTATCATTTTTTTCTATTTATCTATCTATCTATCTATCTATCTATCTAATCATTCATTTTATCATCATTTTTTCTATCTATCTTTCATTCTATCATTTTTTCTATCTATCATTCTTTCTATCTATCTATCTTTCATTCTATCATTTTTTCTATCATCTATCGTTCATTCTATCATCATTTTTTCTATCTATCTCATTCTATCATTTTTTCTATCTATCTATCGTTCATTCTATCATTTTTTTCTATCTATCGTTCATTATATCATCATTTTTTCTATCTCATTCTATAATTTTTTCTATCTATCTATTGTTCATCCTATCATCATTTTTTCTATCTATCATTCATTATATCATCATTTTTTCTATCTATCTTTCATTCTATCATTTTTTCTATCTATCGTTCATTTTATTATCATTTTTTCTATCTATCTATCTATCTATCGTTCATTCTATCATCATTTTTTCTATCTATCTATCTATCTATCGTTCATTCTATCATCATTTTTTCTATCTATCTAGTCTTAATGCATGCAGATCTAGTTATATTTCAGTATCATAACTGCAGTCAAACTGTACTCAGGAAGCGTCTGTACTGTATTTTGTGAAGGTGGTCATCTCACCGGCGCCGTGTTCAACCCAGCACTGGCGCTCTCAGTACAGTTCCCCTGTCCTGGACACAGTTTTGCGGAGTACAGTTTTGTGTACTGGATTGGACCAATACTGGGTGAGCATTAGATTTACAACATTCACTCTGACCTTTGAAGAATCCTTCAGAGACTGTTCTGTAATCAGTTACTTTTGTTAGGAAAACAAGTGTAACAAGTATAACTAAAGGCCAATCAATAAAATGTCTTTAGTGCTGGAGGAAAATCATATTTGCATGGTAGTCATGAACAACACAAACTACCCAGCAGAATATTTGAGAATCATTTAAGCACAATGCCATGTATTTCTAAATGTTCATGTACTAGCAAACCAAACCGCTGACTTTAAATATAGCACGTGTGCATGATAATTCATAGTATTTGTTAATAACAGCAATAAATATACAGTTCTAAGTGTTGCACCAGTATCTTCATGCTGTTTTTGCCACTTATCTTACAGGTATGACAGGCTCTCTGCTGCTTTTTGACAAAGTGATCCCTGCTATTTCAGGAAAACGCACAATTCCAAAGCACCTGAACTCTAACGGACTCAAGACGAAAAAGATGAAGTGAATTAAGGCCTTATGACAGAGAGACTGACTTCTCGTGCATAAGTGCTTATATACTGTGAATATACAGCTCATCTCCAAGTAATAACCAGGGTTTCTGCAGGTTTTAAAAGGTCTTAATTCACCCTTCTTAAGGTCTAAAAAGGTCTTAAATCAGAGCAGAAAGTCTTAAATTCATAACGTCATGGTATTAAATGATGCATGCACTGTAAAAAATTAACATCTTCCTCAGTATTTTGTCAGTATTTCTAATACAAATATCTAAACATCCTTAAATCAAGACACATTTACTTGAGATGCTAACTAGACATATGAAGTCTTGTTTTCTGAGAAATTGAACAAAATTAACTGAGTTTATGGTTAAATCAAGAACAAACGTCTGTCAATGGGGAATCAAAACTTAACTTAAGGCGATCTTTCTAAGCCTACTAGCAGATATTTTTCTTGTTTTAATAATAAATTCACTTCATTTTGATCAATTTCTCATAAAACAAGACTTATTTGGTCATTTTGCTTCTCAAGATAATGCATCTCGATTTGAAAATCTTTAGACATTTGCATTTAGAGACCATATTTACATAGTATTCATTAAATGTTCTTGGTCTTTAAATGTCTTACATTTACCTTCACTAAACCTGCAAAAAAAGCCTGAATAATGAAACTGATGGGACCTTAATGTTTTTCCTTTTTTTAGAAGGGTTTTGGTGAAATCTATGCTTTCAAAATATCTTAAAATGTCTTTGTAATAAAATCTGTAATGGCATATAGCTGCAGATTTACAGCAACATTCATAAAAAGCACATGACCCGTGTCGAGAATCAACTGTAAATGAGTTACAATATTTATGTGTTTAAATCATATTTTAACAAACGGACATTCCTGGAATAAGTGTTCTATGGCTGTTAGAATACTTTTTTTGTGTTACATTCTACTAGCGATGATTCTTACCTAGTAATAGGTAAATGTTACTGTAGTACTAGTAATCTTAAACACAGTTTTGCAGTGCCTTTGGATTATCCTGGGTAAAATAACCTGGGTAGACCAAACCGGATTGAGTGCCGCATCTACAAGCAACTGCAGAATGTGTGAAATGAGATCACAACACACTCCTGTGTTATGAGGAATTAAATAAAGCCGTGCTAAAATCTGTTTGTAATTAAACTTTACATAAAAACACATGGCTCAGTGGTTATTTAACCTGAGAGGTCAAACAGGCTGTTGTGAAATGGTTTCTGATTGACCTTTGACCCTTTGTGAACTCAGAGATGTGCTGAACGAACCTGATAAGGCATTTTGTTTTTCACTACAGCGTGCAACAAAAGACAGGCAAAACAGAACAAATGAAGTTGAAAAATCGTGAGATGTTGCTTACATAACTGAGCGTTCACATGAATGCGAATTGTTGACTTGATTGACTTTGACGCACTGTCAAATTCCTGGTTTAAAGGAATAGTTCACCCAAAAATAAAAATTAGCTGAAAATGTCCTCACCCTCAGGCCATCCAAGATGTAGATGAGTTTGTTTCTTCATCAGATTTGGAGAAATGTAGCATTGCGTCAGTTGCTCAGCAATGGATGCTCTGCAGTGAATGGGTGCCGTCAGAATGAGAGTCCAAACAGCTGATAAAAACATCACAATAATCCACACCACTCCAGTCCATCTGTTAACATCTTGAAAAGCTAAAAGTTTTTTAATAGACATTTTGCACTTGCGCGAGCTGCTCAGACCTGGCCTGTTCAGTGTGTCAGTGTTCACTGCTGTAATCTGTCATTAGGACTAAATCCTACCAGAGACCGAAATAACACAAACTCCAGCACTGCCTGAACACTCACATTCATTCCAGGTGAAGTCACACAATATCTGTCCAAATAATAGAAGGGTTTAAACAGGAGGAAAGATGACTTGAAGTCCACAAATACAGTGACAATCAGCACAAACATTAAAAAAAAGTTTCTAATGGTCAGTCTCATAACATCCAGTGTCAAGGTCACATTTCATGCCATAACCAAAAAACATAAATTATATAAATTAAAATACCACTCCTTTATTATTATTTTATTATTATAATGCAAATTCATGATGCTACCATAATGCATCTGGATTTTTGAACTCCCATTACTCTCAGTGATGATTTTTTTAAAAACAATATTGTTTACAATGTGTTGCATAATGCAGTTTTAAAAAGATATGAAAAAATACTGTATAAAAACAGTATAACAAATCCTGCCATGATGAATACTTTTAGTAATTTGTTGTTGTTTTTTGTAATTTTGATTAGTTTTTTTTTTTTTAAGTTTTAGTTATAGCTGAAATTAGACATTTTTTTTTTATTTCAGTTCATGTTTATTTTATATATCAAGTAAAGCATTTTTGATGGTTTTAGTTAACGGTAATAACCCTGTTATGCACAATACAAAAAAAAATTATATTTATATATATATATATATATATATATTCTTCTCATATCTTTCTTTGATTTTCTTGACAGATTTTGTGAGAAGGACTGCTGAATGAATTCACTGAGAAAATATTTGATCTCCTGTGAGGAAATACACAGGAAATAATTAGACGAGGATGTCTCATAAACATCTGACTAAATACAAACTGAGAACGACCCAAAATGAGCAGCATGAGTATTTTTAGCACACTTCAACAAACCGCCTGATTGAGGATATTTCAAAGAGAAAAAAAAAAACACCAAATATGGAAGAAAAAAAATGAGGCTTTGGTACAAAAACAGCTGTATTTATTGAAATCTCTAACAAACTCATCAACATCACTCCACTGAGGAGGAAAATTCTGGAACTTGGTCTTCAGGGAAAACTACAAAATACATTAGTGGGAGCTACATATGGTCGTGACAGCCGCGGTGTAAAACAGCCCATTCAATTCAAGCAAGGAAAGACAGAAATGCTATAAGCGCTTTGAGAGTCAGCTGATATCCCAGCATGCCCCACTGAAGTGCTTCAATCAGCCGTACAGAAACGCAGTTCATCTGTCAACACATTGAGGGATTCAGAGTCACGCAGGAGCTTCAACACGGATCCTCACAACAGCAGCAATACAGTCATTATTCTGATGAGAATCATACACGTTTGGAACGACACAAAGGTGTATATGATGAGAGAATTTACATTTTCCCAATCAATTATTTCTTGAAGTGTGCGAGTATGCGAGTTCTGACAGTGTCAGCTTTCATCACTTCCTGTCCAGAACCAGTGTTGTTTTTGTCAATTAAAAATGGTATTCGGTAACTGAAATAAAATATAAATATTCACTTTTAAACTCTGAAAATTTGAAACGTTGCCTTGGCAACTACATGAAATAAGTTTAAGCTGAAGTACTAAAATTACCAAAAACTATATCTGAAATAAAAAATAAAGCTATATAGAATGAAAAGTTTAAGAAAATAATGGTAATATTTAAAAATAAATAAATATTTCAACAAAAACGAATAAAAATGACAAAAGCACAAAATTACTAAAACTGCAACTGAAATAAAAATAAATCTAAATAGAAATATTTTTTACAAATTGAAATACTAAAAAAAACTAACAAACATTTAAATAAAAATGAATAAAAATGGAAAAAAGCACAAAATTATTAAAACTGCAACTGAAATAAAAATAAATCTAAATAAAAATATATTTTTTAAAAATAACAGAAATATTGAAAACTAATAAAAAGTTGAACATATCGCACACACCCCTTATATATATATATATATATATAAATTACAAAAGCACATAAAAAAAAACAATAAGTAAATGAAATAAGAGCCAATTCAAAATATTAATACATTTTATAATAGTATATAAATAACACTGGGCAGGACAGGAGATGGAATTGGTCAAATGAGATTTTGAAGACACAGTAGTATATAGTTACCAGTGATCCACATCGGCGTCCTCAAACTGTCCAGTGACTGTGCTTGAGTCGACTTCCATTCCATCTGAACTCAGACAAAAAAAATAAAAGTTTAATCACTGTATTAAATTACGACCGTCCTGCCCTGTGCTGCTCCTCTGGGCTTTACCCATTCCAGATCCATTAGCGCTCAGGAAATCCTGCTCATTACAGACACACAGTCTTCTGAGTCTCACACAACACTCATCCTCCACAGACTGAAATCAACTCACATTCACACAGACACCGAACCAAACATTCATGCACTCTGTCAAAAACACCACTCTTTTAGCATCATGTGGGGTTTAATATAGCATGACTTTTCTCAGTTACTGCCATCTAGTGGCTGCTCGTGTGCATTCTCATTTTTTTTTATTTCTAAATTTTAAAATCAAGTAAATTCGTCTGGGATGTCCATAAAACAGTGGAAGAAGCTGTCAGAAACTTTGACACTTTGTTTTATTTCTGTTTTGATGACAGTGACTAAGTTACCAAAGATTTATAGCAATAATTATACAATTTTATAGCAATAATATGTGACAATAAAATCTAATTTTATATTTTAAATATTATATAATGTTTTATATTTTAAATATTATATAATGTTTTATATATATTTTGGTAACACTTTGGTAACATTTCAATAATGTTTCATTTGTTAAAATTAATTAACTACATTATTATTAACACAAAATAACAATGAACAATACTTCTACAGTATTTAATAATCTTTATTAATGTTACTTTCAGCATTTAACAATAGATTTTTAAAATCAAGGGTTGTATTTGTTAACATTACTTAATGCACAGAGAACTAACATGAACAACTGTATTTTTCATTAACTAACTTTAACAAAGATTAATAAATGCAGTAAAAAATGCATATTGTTAGCTAATGCATTAATGAATGTTAACAAATGCGACCTTATTGTGAAGTGTTATCTATATTTTAATATTATAATAATATGGGAAACTATACAATATTGTAGGGTAGTACACAAAACTAAACTGCCCTCTCAAGGACAGACAGATCACCACTACTGAAATAAACCAGTAATAAATAATGAGTTTGAACACACACCGACCTTCAAATTCAGCCGATGGCTCGTCGCTTCTGACTCCAGCCATGTGGTGCTGCTGTGTGACAGACTGGGCCAGCATCCCCTCCAGCCGGTCCAGTGTGGCCTGACCCTCGGCCGTCAGGTGAGACAAACCCTCCTCATAGGTGTAAAACGTGGGGACGTCACCCTGACCCTGACCCTGCTCTTGCTCTGAGAGAAAAGAGGAATGGTACAAAAGCACTGAAATAATATGAGAGGAGACACCAAGCCTCAGTACTCGGAGATGATTGACATTAATATCGTTGTCCACTCAAAAGTGGAGAGAAACCGGATCAGTGGTTCTCAACCAGGGGCCTCAGGAGACTTCAAAGGAGACCTCAAGATGGCTTTAAAATGACTTCAAATAGGACAAAACCAGCTTTAGAATAAAATAAAACCAGCTAAAAATCCAGATGTAAGCTAAGCTAGTTTTAATTTGCAATCGAAATTATTATTTTAATTTTTTTATTTAAAAAAAGGGTTCTCATTGTCTTTGAAAGTTATATATTTCTAGTTATGTCATGCTCTAAAATATTTTATGTAGAAACAAGCTGAGAAATTTCCATTTGAGAGTAAAAAAATATTTGAAAAACGGCTAGAAACATGCAAATTAATGGCTCATAAAAAGTATAAACTCTGCAAAACAGAAAGATTATTCATTTAATTATTTATAGAGAATTGAATTACTTTCATTTGAATTATTTAAAAGTAGTTTACTTCATTATTCTAGAATTGCAGAATGTAGTGATTTTAATTTAAATTACTTACGAATAGTTCATTTCATTATTTTAAGAACTTAGTTTAATTTTATTATTTAAAAGTAGTTTATTTTATTATTTTAGAATTACGGAATTTAGTGATTTGAAGTGGTTTCTTTCATTATTTTTAAAAGTTTATTTTATTATTTTAAGAATTACAAACTTCAATTATTCTAATTACTTATAAGTGGTTTATTTCCTTATTTTAATATATTGCCATTCCTGGTTTGTGCAGATAAAAAGCTTTTTTACAGCTTTAGTACCAGAAATGTCTTGGCCTGTATGAGGGGGCCTTTGAACATTGTCTTGGACTCTGGGGGACCTTGGAGTCCAAAAGGCTGAGAACGCTTGCACTAGATGCATTATGGATCCAAATGACACTCACCAGCCTCCTCGACGTCATACTCCTCTCCCACGTAATCGTCGTCATCTGTGTCCGCGTCCTCGGGGTCGGGGTGCAGGGCCTGACAGTCGCACATGGCGGAGAACATGGGCTCTACTGCACACACACACACACTGTTACTCATCCAGCAGTGATGCTCACGCTCAACTCATCCACGCTCGCTCCACACACTCACATGCAGCTTTATCACTGGGCACGAAGCGGATCTCTGTGAGGGTTCCTGAGTCTTCACTGTCGCTGTCGCTCTCCTCATCGTCCGACGC